ACAGCTACATCTCCCGCATTTGAAAGAACAGTTTTATGTACAAGATGTCCGTGGAGCTGAGTGGCGCAGTCCCCTCCGGTCACCAGAGTCAGCTGCTCCCGGGGTATCTCCTGTGTGGGTCACGTGTGTCCTCCTATTGTGACTGGGCTGTGATGGCTGCAGGTTCCCTCATGTGTGGGTTGACTCCCTGGATCGGGCTGCTTTGGAGGGGTGCTGGGGCAGCCTGCTGTGTAGGATGGGGAGGGAAGTGCTTTACAGTAGGCAGCGAGGGCAGGTCCTCCGGGGAATGCTGGGGAAGGGATGCGTGGTATTAGCTAGGCTGATAGAGAATAACAAAAGTACCAGGCCAGCTAGGTAGAAGGCGAGTGAAAAAGAATGATGTCTGCCGGCACTTCTGACCCCAGAGAAGCTCCACCAGATCCCTGTCCCCCAGCACCTGCCCTAAGTTAGTCAAAGGATCTCCTTCTCATATGACCCAGGAGCTTTTCAAGCTGCTGCATCTGTTCTGGGACTTGGAGCGAATGTAACCCCACTGGTTTTCAAAGCCCAATGTTATGGAGCTCATCTTCCCAGTGTAGGGCCTCAGGCTGGCAATCTTGATGTGGGGCTCACACCCCTCACTCCTCAGGGGGCGCCTCTCCAGCTGTGATACCCCCCCCCCCGGTGGGTCTTCACACTGAGGATGAGAATTATAACCAGATTGCTTCTCTGTCCCTGTGTAGCCTTTTCCTTTTAAAGTCCTGAATTGTAGAAAATCTGTCTTGCTAGTTTTCAGGTTGTTTTCAGAGTTGGTTGTGCCCTATGCAGTTGTGATTTGGTGTGTCCATGAGAGAGGATGAGCTCAGGATCGTTCTCCTCTTCCATCTTGATCTGGAACCTCATTATAGTATTTTTCTGCAGTCAGAATCAGCCAAACATAAAAAGGCAAGGTTAGTGGATGAGCGGCAATACTAACCTGTTGGTGCCCCCTAGTGGTAAGCCTTAAATTGCCAGAGTCATCTCGAACACTGTGAACTTGGGGGAATGAGGTAGAGGAAGGCAAGGTGGAAAGATGTTAAAACAGAAAAAACAAAGAGAAAAAAAATCCTAGAAATGAAAGAAAACAAAACTTGAGTCTTGGAAAATAATTGACTTTATTTATTTTGCGGCTTTCAGGAATGAGCTCTGAAAAGTCATGAAAATTTGCTTGTTTTAGTCCCAGCACTGAGCTGTATGCATGCTTACTTGCTCAGTCAAGTCGGACTCTGTGACTCCATGGACTGTAGCCCGCCAGGCTCCTCTGTTCATGGGGATTCTCCAGGCAAGAATACTGGAGTGGGTCGCCATTACCTCCTCCAAGGGATCTTCCTGACCCAAGGATCGAATCCAGGTCTCCCACATTGCAGGCAGATTCTTTACCATCTGAGCCACCCAGAAAGCTCGAGCTAAGTGCTGGTGAGAACTCACTGACATAATATACCAACCATAGAGCTAAGTTCTGTTATTTTTCATCAGGTATAAGATGGGGACACTGAGATTATAATTTAAATATCTGGCCTGGAGTCAATCAGTATGAGATGAAGGGCTGACTGGTCCAGAGTCCAAACTTTCAACTGCTTCTATTCTGGCCTTTATTAATAGTCATTTATAATGTCTGTAGCTAATAAGAATGATACTGTCAACATATGTGTTTTGTATTCATTGCATCTTTAGGAATGAGCAAATAACTTCTTGATATAATAGAAGAAAACTTTATATACTTCTAATATTTTGATAACTGCATGATAATAAATATCTGTAAAATTCTGTAGAAAGGTTGAAATTTTTTATTTAAAAATTCCACTAGTTGATTAGATTTGTTTTTGTACATTGAAATTATTGCATTACTTAACAGCAGATTTGATCCAAAAGTCAACAACCATACCATCCGCAATGCACCCAATCTAGTTAGAGTTGACCCAAGATGCTCTAACTTCAGGAGTTAAATATTCCATTGCATGTGGAAAAGTATAAAGTGATATCTTGTCTTTTCTAAGTAATGCATCATGGACATATTTCCTTCATTATGAAGTGGTCTCTAGGAAATAGGCGCCAAACCCTTTATTCTAAACCATGCATTTCTATTTTTAATGACTTTTTTGTTATACAGTAATGGTTTAATGGTTACAGAGAAGCTTCTAGAACATTTTTTCATGTCAGCATTCTTTCACCACAGCATTACACAGGATTTTCCATTTGATTTTCTGCTCTTCTTCAAGCCCAAACTGAAATCATAGAACTGGAGGAAACATGTTCCTTTATTCTCACCAAATAAAATTCTTGCTTCTGTTTTACTTATACATGTTCACAGTAGCCTGAACCCAAAACCACACAGGCTGAATATGAAATATAAAATAGTTTGCTTGGAAAAACATTTACCCTATGAAGTAATTGTTACTAAATACTTTTGAATCAACAAACTGGTAACATTCAAATGGTTTTGAATAATATTTCTAATGTGAAATTGGCAAACTTTAGTCAATTTCAGTGAATGTTTTGGGAGACCCAGGAAAATATTGTCTAGGAGAATTTTATTAATTAATATAACTCTGAGTGATTTCAGTTCTTCTCATGAAGCTCTCTCTCAACAGTTTTTTATTCTATGCATGCTTGTGGTATTATATTAGTTTTGCCAAGAATTGCTTTTATTAATTGTTTTACATTTTATTTTTAATATTATATGGTATTATGTGTTTTACTTGGTATTTATGAAGTATTTAGTAATTCTTGATACAGTTGAACTAGAAGATATTATGACTTCTTTTCATATCTTTGACTGAATGTATTCATGTTTGACTAATTTATGAAGACAGGCAATAGGAAAAGGAGTCTATTTTTCTTAATCTGAAATCCCCCCAAATACACTCAATATTAGATATTGGATATGTTGAAATAATGTAAGATTTGTGGCTATGTCCTAATGTAGACCATGGTTAGTATTAGAATTATTCAGATCAAAGGTATTAAATCCAGGGACTGAAATGGGTGATATGGGGGCTCTTAAGACCTTCTAGAAGGTGAGGCCTGGATGCTGCCCAGGGATGTTTGGGCATAGTTTTGTTTTTCCTTCAGAGTGAAAATGTAGCCTTGCTGACAGTGGGGTTGGCTGCAGAGACAGGAGTAACTAATAACTACTAATATAGATTGTGTAAGAGCATAGAGATTTGAACAGGGATGAAACCTTAAGTAACAACAGTTTCTCTGCAGCACAAAATTCAGCTTCTCAGGTCTGATGGTATCAGGGCAATTGTAGGATCTCTTTAGGAATTCTTGGGGCCAAGCAACACAGCACTGACACAGCTGTAGAACTATATAAGTCCACCTTGCATCTGGTAAGAGTTTACAGAAAGATTTTATTTGAATTTTATTTAAATTCAGACCTTTATCATTTTACTGAATTTGTGTGAGTGTGTATTTGAGTGGGATTTGGTTCTGGATGGTTTCATGCTGAAACATGGTTCTATTCATGAAACATGAAGTGGACTTTAACTGATTACTTTGAGAGTGTGCATTTTCTGCCTTACAAGCATACAGTTCACATCACTCTATTTCCTTTATAATCATCGCTCAATTATTTACTTTTGATTTCTCTTTAAAGTGCTAATGGGCATACTGTGCTCATGTATTATAATGTTAATTTAAGTTTTATATTGTTTTATTTATTCTCTAGTTAGTATGTTTATAAAGACTTGTGTTTTTAACTAGTGTGTGAGCCCCTTGTTGATGGTCGTCATACAACTTTTGTTGTATGACAACAACTCTCATACAACTTTTGTTCTCCGCAAAGTGTGAACTGAATTGAGCCAAATAGAATCAAACTGAATTCCATTTTATGGAATTTAAGTTTGGGTTTTAAAACTAGAACTGTGTGCTGTATCTTGCACCATAATTGTGGCTACCACATGGACAAATGTTAAAGAGTCAAGATGTGAACATCAAAACAATGGCAGACTCTCCCTGCAGTAGAAAATACTTTATTTCATTGTCCTGATTTATGGAGGACCACTGCTGTTTTTTGAAAGCCTTGCAGATGCAGAGGTTTTCAGAGAAATACTGATGGTGCTCAATTTCCCTATCTTCCAAATTCCTTTTTTGGCCAGAGTCAACACATATACATAAAAACAAATGTTATTCATTTGTTCAACTGAAGTGTCATCAAGAAAGGAGCTAGGAAAATGGAAAGGGGCTCGGAAGAAATAAATATTGATTGGTACCATCACTGTTCAATAAATATGTGTGATAAATGATCATTTTGGTAAATGCATCAAATGACGATAGAACTACTTTCCTATTAATAAATGTGCTCACATTATTATTAAAGTTAGACAATTAGCATTAATATTCTCTGAATCATGCTAGAGAACTTGTACATTTGGGTTGAACCAGGTGAATGAATTATCTTTCTCTCTCTCTTTGTGTCTCTCCACAAACTGGTCTGCACATGCAACACAATTTTCTCGGCAAGGAAATCATCAGGAGAGATAGCTGTATCTTACATAAGGAGTTAAGTTCCTGGGTATTTCAAGGCTCAGTTTGAAGGAAGTTACTTAGTTTCATTAGTTTTTAGTTATGGTTGAAAAACTGTGAGGGCCTTTGGACCTGTTTTGTTGAATTTGAGCTCCTATGATTTGACAGTCTTTTTGCATTAATCATTATAAGTAAAGTAAGAACATGTTCAAGTGAAATATCCTTCTTATTTTATCACTTGAGTTGCTCTGAAAGAAGAGCCAAGGTTAATATCCTCATAGTTTCTTAAGTCTGTATTTGAAACTATAAATATCAGTACATGTTCATATAATATTAAATCCCATAAATTTTTTCTTTTCCAAAATTTAATTCCTATAAATAGCAGTTTCATGCTGTCAAGAGCTATGCTTGATGATTTGCGTCATTTGCAAGTTAAAACTCCCATTTTGGCCTATTCTTCTTTAATGATACTGTCTAAATTTCTTAAATTAAAAATCTACCTTATTTCTTTTTAGGGAATCCCAGGATTTCCTGGAAACCAAGGATTAATGGGACAAAAAGTAAGTACGACTGAAAGTTGAAAGATTTGGTCCTGGGATTTGTTTATGAAAAGGGCAAAGTGGTGATGTCTCTTCACATAGAATATATTTTGTCACATTTATGGCAAGAGTTAATGGTTCAAATATGATGTGATTTTGGAAGGTATTATTTTGACCTTACAACTTGTTTTTCTTGTTTTATACAGGTAGTATAAATTTGAATTTACACACATGCTTTCCATTTTACTTGGTTACTTTCTATCTTGTTCTCTTAGACTGTCCTTTCAGGGCAAGTTTTCTATTTCCTGAACTATATCTTTAGAAATTCCTTTAGTACAAATATCTTGATTGTAAATGTTCAGTTTTTATGTAATTACTTCCCTGGTGGCTCAGATGGTAAAAGCGTCTGCTTACAATGCAAGAGACCTGGGTTTGATCCCCGGGTTGGGAAGATCCCCTGGAGAAGGAAATAGCAACCCACTTCAGTATACTTGCCTGGAAAATTCCATGGACAGAGGAGCCTGGTAGGCTACAATCCATGGGGTGGCAAAGAGTTGGACACAACTGAGTGACTTCACTTCACTTATTTTACTCTTGTGTTTGAGAAAGGATTTTTGTAGGGTATACAATTCAAGGTTAATGATTATTTCCTCTTGATACATTGAAGTTTTTCTACTATCATTTCCTGGCTTCCATGGTTAAGTATGAAAAATCTGCTCTTGTTCTAATCATCATTCTTTTGCAAGTGATCTGTCCCTTCTTTTGGCATTCTTTAAGGCATTTTATTTGTTTTCAGTGTTCTTAAAGCTCAGTGCAGTGTGTCTCGATATGGATTTACCTGTGTTCATCTTGGTGGGAATTCAGTTTCCTTGCTGGCTCTCTGAGGTATTTCTATTAGGTCTGAATGACATGGGCTGTTAATGTCCACATTACTTTCTTCATTCTCCACTTTTCCCTTCTTCTAGAAAATCTAGTTAGACATATGTCGTTCCTTCTAACTTTGTCCTCTCCATCTCTAAATTGCTTACTTTCATATCCTTGATCCTTAAATTCTGGTTAATGTTTTGGTTATGTTTTCCAGTTTATTTTCTATCTATTCTTCCTTTACTGTGTCTAACCTGCTGTTTAGACCATCAGTTGATACAAAAATACAAGAAATCATATTTTTCATTTCTAGAATTTCAAATTTTAATGATATCTTTTTACTCTTTTTTCTTGAAGTATAGCTGATTTACAGTGTTGTGTTAGTTTCAGATATACAGCCAAATCATTCAGTTATATACATATATATAACTGAATGACTTTTTGGATTCTTTTTCCTTATGTGATGTGAAAGTTGCTTAGTTGTGTCCAACTCTTTGTGACCCCATGTACTATACAGTCCATGGAATTCTCAAGGCCAGAACACAAGTCGGTAGCAGTTCCCATCTCCAGGGGATCTTCCCAACCCAGGGATCAAACCCAGGTCTCCACATTGCAGGCAGATTCTTTACCAGCTGAGCCACAAGGGAAATCTTAAATATAGTTCTCTGTGCTAATAGCTTCTTTTTATTCTTGATAGCCTCTTATTCTGTTTTCAGTTCTAATCGTCTTTGATGATTCTGTTCTTTCATTTGTAAAGACTTCAGATAGTAGCTCTGAATTCAGTTTCTAGCCATTCTAACACCTGCAGTTCATTGTTATTTCTCTTGATTCTCTTGTCTTGTGGTTTTCTGCTTCCCTTGTCTTGATTGTTGATTCTGAGCTCATTGCTTCATCCTAGCTGGCAGGCATCCTGTCAGCCTAGCTGAGGCTTGGGGAGCCTAGCTGCCTCCTGCTGGCAGGCCTGCATACCCCTTCAGCCCGCTTTGAGAGCCTTAAGCCTTTGTAGGTGTTAAAGACTCCTGCCCTCTCCCGGTGGCTGCCCAGTGTTCGGTTTCCTAAAAGCTGAGCATGTACCCTCCACACCCCCAGCCCTCTGGTTTCCTGCATCTCTATCTCTGATGAGGTTTCTGCACAGTTCCAAATCTTCATAATTATAGTTGTAATCCAGAGTATATTTTATTAAAATAAAGGATCTTTGAAGACTTCCCCTACTTCTCATAAGGCCAGCACTCTCTCAAAGAGGATGAGGGCTTTTGTTCTTGATTCAGAGAATCTCTTGGAGCATAAGGTCAACCACAATCCCCAAAGTTGAAATCTAAATGCTATGATTTGCTCAGTCATGTCCAACTCTGTGACACCAGGGACTGTAGCCTGTCAGGCTCCTCTGTCTATGGAATTTTCCAGGCAAGAATACTGGAGTAGGTTCCTATTTCCTTCTCCAGAATGCTTTGCTAGGAAATTCCTAATGATGAATTGGTAATTTGCAATTTTAAACTTTATCTGTATTTGATTTTTAGGGAGACATTGGGCCTCCAGGACCGCTAGGGAAGAAAGGCGCTCCGGGAATACCTGTACGTTAGCATCATTCTTTGGGGTGTTGAAATAGTGTTGCTATGTACCAAGAGTTCTCATTCTGAACCTCACACAATGCAAGTGTTCAGCAACGGGACGCACAGGCTCCACAACTGCCAATCCATTTGTATGAAAAAGATTTTGTCCATTTTTATAGAGGAGAATAGATTTCTTCAGCTTCTGAAAAAGTTGGCTATCCAAGAAAAGATCAAGAACTCTTACTGTAGCTAAACCAGAAAACAAATACTCCAGCTCTTTATTTAAAAAAATAAGAACAAAAAACCTGAGCACCACAAAAAGGTCTAAAAATAAATGTTCTTTTTTATTTTTTAGATAATTTACAAATTTAGTTATACAAATGAGGAAGAATACATTCAGAACATGTAGTATAGGGAGATCCTGAATTAATGAGAAAATAATTTTGGAAGTGTTGGGAGTAAAGGGACATATGAGTTTGCTACTAAAAGTTATGAAAATCCTATGGTATATAAGACTCCATAAAAAATTTCTGAAAGTTATTACTAAAAGTGATGTGGATTTTAACCTATGAATCAAATTGCCTGTAACAGCTTTTTCTTTGAGTAAAAAATATCTGATAGTTTCTGACTTTTCATTTAATTATTTAAGTTTAAAAAGCAGGTATTTACCTTGTGAAAAGATTTGATAAAATTTTGGTGAAAGACTTGGGTGGAATATTCTTCCTCTACGTCCATCATCATGACCAAATTATTTTTTCATTGAAATATTAAACTTAATTATTTATCAGCATTTAAGTTAGTCTCCAGAAAATTAAAGTATTGAATAGAACTTCACTGAACTTAAAAAATAAGTATATTTAATATTTCTAATATTTAGAACACTATGCTATGAGTAGTATATTTTATATTGTATAATTGTAATAACAGCCTAAATTGATAGCAAAGCATAGTAGTGATGAAATGGTATTTTTAGTGTGACTATATTGAGATTCCATTTTCTGATAATGCTAACTGAATATTTTTGCTTATCACATTTTCCTTGTTATGATAAAGAGAAAGCAAATGTTTTTAATACATATAATAGTATTTAAATTGAATCTAAATTATTTCCTTGCTGCTAGAGTAGTTATTCAGTGTTTTATTTTGAATCATATGATTAGTAAAAAATATGGCCATTTGTAACTTACAAATTATTATATTCAGAGAATTTATTAGATTTTAACACTTTAAAAACATTATTCAAGAAAATAAAAAATGTAAGTAAAATTGACCAAAATAATATCTAGGAAGAAATTTAAATGTTGATCATCATGAGAAAAGGAAGAAAGTGAGAGTGTTGGAAAAATAAACTTTTCTTTACAGTTGTTTTTTACTAGCTTTCCAGTAATTTTTGCTATTGGTAGGTGATGTCAGCAACCAGTTATAAGGGCTTTGCTGGCCTTCATGTTATCTTGCATAACTTGATTCTTTATTCTCCTTTATTTGGTTGTATGAAGGGAAGTTTCCCGTATGTTGCGTTATACTTTAGTGGATTAATTATGATGGGACTGTATAACTTGAAAATTGATTGACTGCTTTTTAATATTCTTCTCTAAATTGCTCTTGCAATTCCCACTTAAAATGTAGGGTTTGATGGGAAGCGATGGTTCACCAGGTCAGCCTGGAGCCCCAGGATCTAAGGTAAAGAAAATGAATTTAATAAGACTGAGGACTCTGTGCAAAATGACCATTGATGTACTTCAGTCAGAGTTTTCCCTACACTGATATTATTTTGAGTGTGGTGTGAATCTATAAACAAGCACTTGAAGGAATGAAGTCTTAGATGAAAACGAAGCACATAAAGCACAGTAATGTGAAGCAGCCCTAGTTTAAGCCGGAGAGAGTCCCGGAGCCTCGTGACAGCGCGCTGTTCGATGGGTAGCTCCGCGCACCGAGGAGCACCCAAATTCTAAGGAGCCCAGAGCTCAAGCCACTGTCTAGAGCATCCGTAGTGATGAGGAAGGGAACTCTGCCAACTACCAAGCCCTTCTTTGGTATTTTATTTTGTGGAATATATGTGAAATTTTTATTTGTAAAATGCCTGATAGTGAGTTGTATTACGTGTTTCCTCCCTCAGAACTGGGTGTAAGTGGGCATATTCTCTTAACTTCCACATTTAAAAAAAGTAAGGCAAGCTTGATAAATATATTGAGATTTCAGGTGATGCTGGCTTTAAGTTAGAACTGAAATTCTTTGAGTTCCATGGTTCAACCATTTTCTAGGTGTACCGAGTCAGGTGCTAAGAGAATTTCTTTCTTTCTTTCTTTCTTTTTTTTTTACTTATTAGAGAATCAGATTGGGTACCTTCTGGCTTGACTTAAGAAACTATTCTTGACTATTTAATGAGTAGATTCTAGGATAGCTTTCTGAAAGAAAGTGATGGAATCTGCTCTTTTGAGAGCATTCATCCTTGAACAAGACCAGGGAAATAGATCCTGGCATACAACATGAGTTGTATGGCCTAATCTATTCTACTTTTAATTTCTAAAGTACCTTGAGAAAGAGATAGGATAAAATGTCTTGGGAGCCCTGTGAGTCAGGAAAAGTAGCTGCCCGATTACCAGGGGTGAACTCTGAAGGTCCTTGGAACATTGTGGGTCCAAGCAGTAATAAGTCTGCCCCTGCCAAATGGACCTTCTCCATCATTTCTCAAGGTCATTTTGTAAGGAAAGTAGAGTATTTGTATGCTCCTTAAATAACTGGGATACAATGGACTCTCCCGTGATTCTGGATGCTATAATTCTTAAGAATTGCAGCCTAAGATTTTATCAGCTTTTTAAAATTAGCCACTTCACATCATTGGCTCACACTGAGCTGGAGATCAATTAAATCTGTTGGACTTTCCATAAAAGATTTTAGAGCAATGTATTTGTGGCATCCACCCCTTGGGCAGGTCTGCTGATATGGCTGGTGAGTCAAGTGATTCTAACATCCTAGTTTGTTTTTACATAAATTACTATGAAGTTTGATTTCCCCCATCTTGTACAATTTTAAAAATAGATTCAAGATGTTAAAATAGATTTTTAGCATCTATTTTTGAACCTATTTTGTTTCAAATAGACTCAAGATGTTAAAATTATACCTCTAAAATGTAATCTTTTTGGTGAAATGTTTGACCTTCTTTTCATGCAGTGTATTAGCTCAGGTCTTAGAATATTTTTCTGTCAAGCACCAGACAGGACATGTTTTGGTCTTTGAGGGCCATATAGCTTCTGATGCAGTCACCCAGCCCTGCTCTTAGAATGTCGAAGCAGCCACTGTGTGGGTAGATTCACGTTCCTGCACAACTTTATTTATAAAAACAGGCATTGGGCTGACTTAGCCCGCAGGTCATAGCTTATCTGCCTCTGTATCAGGAGTCTCCAACCTCTGGGCCTAGGTACCAGCCTGTTAGGAACTGGGCCACATAGCAGGAGGTGAGGGGTTGGGGAGCAGTGGACCTTCATCTGCTGCTCCCCAGCACTCCACATCACTTGTATTACCACCTGGACCATCCCTCGCCCAGTCTGTGGAAACCTTGTCTTCCACGAAACCAGTCCCTGATGCCAAGAACTTTGAGGACTGCTGCTCTATATTACTGTATCTCTCTGGTTTTGTCAACTAATATATTTGGGAACAATGCCTACAATATCAACAGACATAAGGTCAAGAGTAGGATAATAAAGCTGTTGCAAGCAAGCCCGGTATGATGGTGAGACTCTGTGTAGATCTTTAGAGAACTTCCAATTTCAACTATAATATTTCTTTTTAGAATAGGTGTTGAGCCACACCTAAGTCTTTTTTACCATACCAGATTCCAGTTTTATAAAATATTATCTAAATGATATCAAAGTGCATTAACATAATCAAGTCATGTAGCTTTCAGCCAGTCCTGTCACCCCTGTGAGTTTCAACATAAGCGTTTGTAAAATTAGAAATTTTAAGGAACCTTGATGCTATGGTAGAATCATGCTGTTAATGTGACAAATGCTTTAATTAAGTGCAAATATTAAGTTCATGTGGTTCTCAACATGAGCTGAGAACAAAGGTGGTTCCCTTTACTGATCACTACACCCACCCCGCCCTACCCCACTACACACTACCCCCTCTGGGTAGTCATCACCTCTTCTCCCAGGTGTCACACCAACCTCTTTAATAACAGGGTTTGCCAGACATGGACAGGGTTATGATTTCAGGTGTCAGAGCATATTTGAAAGCCAGAACCACCTCTGACAATCCCTCCTGATGAACCAGGAGGCAGGTTGTCTCTTTTTGTAACCAATCCTGTTTTCCTGTCTTACATGCTTTGCTCTAATAAGTTGGTCTTGCTTTCCAAGTGTCTGTTAGCAAGGACTGTACTAGAATTCTAAAAAAGCATGCAAACTAAATGTTATCTGATTCATGTTTCTTCCAAAAGCCACTCAAAAGTGCATTTGAGGCTAATTTTCTTTCCTTAAGCTACATACTGAAAATGAGCTCTACAGAGAAAGTGAAACAGGGAAGGATGATGATTTCCAGCCTAGAGGATGCTATTAAGATACATGGGTCTGGCCTCTGCAACACAGACCTAGCTGATTAGGGCTGGTCCCTAAAGATTTTTTTTACTTGGAGCTACCAGCTTCAAACAGGCTCATTGAAGACTTTATAAATATGCAGACTCACTTCCTTGCTTAAAATAGTTTTTTTTTTTTAATAAGAAGACCTAACATATAGATTCCATTTTTCAAACAATTGGAAAGTTGAAACTGTATGTCTGGTGACTAAATATATATATGGTGACTAAATTCAAAATTTTAAATGATTTTGATGCATTGACAGGGAAATAAGGGTGAACCTGGACTTCAAGGGCTGCCTGGGGCTTCTGGGCTCAAGGTAATTCATTGTGTTTTGATGCATTTGGAAATGTTTTCGAAGTATGCAGTCCTCTCATTTTTTTGGTGAGATTAACAGTTGTATTAAGAAAAGATATATGAAATGAAGGATGATCTATTAGCATAAAATTAAGGTACCTGAGTCAGTGGTGAATGTGGGCCAATTTCATTTCTGTGTTTTGGATATTTTATCATAGTTTGGGTAATAAAGGCATGGCATGTACCTTGGGTTTTCTAGAATTGGTAAAAGTTGGTTGCTAATGTGACTATCCTCTCTGGTCCAGAGAACATCACTTTCTGTGGCTGAGCATGAGAGTGTGTGTGTACGTCTCCCAGGGTGGTTCTGATCCTTGGTTGATGATTGATGGGACTTTATTTTCAGTTTGGGAGTCACAAATGCCTTACCAGTTTCCTCCAAACCAAATAGTTGATGTCACTCATTTTGAATTCTTTTCTAGCCTTTAAAAATCTAGAGTCATATTCATCAACTCACAGGGAGCAAAGAGAACAGAACTTAGTTTCCACAAAAGAGAGTCATTTTTAGTTAATGTGACAAGAGTTTAGGACTAGTGGTAAAATAAACAAAGCAAAACCAAAACACCATGAAACATGTTTGGGAATACATCCTATCTCTTAAAATTTTAACCTAAATGTTGTTGAGACATCATCATTATATACTTTCACATTGTAAGTCTTTCTTATTTAAGGCATTTAAAAGAAAGGAAATAATATCTATGACATGATAGGGAATAGAAAATTCAGTTAAGATAACTCACAGAATATTCTTTGCTCTGAAAACAGCTCAAGAATTTATGTCTAAGAAAATAATATTCCAGATATATAAAGTAAAAATCATAAATGTGTATATTTAATGATAAGAATATTCACCCCAATATTGTTTATAAAAATGGTGAAAATGAGTGTTTAGCAGTAAAAATTTTATTAAATATGGTAAATCAATACAATTGAATGATGTTCTATAATTTTTAAAAATTTAAAACATATAATGGTATATTAAAAATTTCAATATTAATATATTTTGAAGTAAAAAATGTATTGTAAAATTATGCATACCTAGCACATTTTAGTAACTAAGCTGCCTATATGTTTGTGAGAGGTAGAGGGAAAATATATAACCAAATAAAAATATTAGGTAATGAAAGTTTTAATAATTTTATTGCTTCTTTTTATTACCAGTTTTGTAACAATAAATTTTTTAAAGGAGGATTTATGAGAAAAAGCAGTTTCAAGGATGAAGAGAATATTAGTAAATGCAAAGAGAGATACCCATGTTTATTATTTTCACGGCTTAATTTTTTATTGTTGAAGTTATAAATATAAGAAAAATACCAAATATTTATGAAGCTTTCAAATATGATATGCTCTCAGAATTTCTTAACTAGAAAAGATAGGAGGAAGCATAAAAAAGTTTATTAGGACATCCATGGACTTTTCATTCTTTGCTAGTTCTGTAATAATATCTCTGAATGTTAATAAGGTTTTTAACTATCAGTTTTAAGTTTGAGATAAATGTAGAGATACAAACAGTGGGGCTGTTCACAAGCAGTGGGTCTGCGATGTTCATGTGATTTCTGTGTTATTTAGGGAGAACCAGGAGTGGTGGGTCCCCCAGGAGAGCCAGGATACCTGGGTTTACCTGGAATTCAAGGGAAAAAGGTATGATTTTTAGGATACATAATTCATTGTTAATCAGCTGTGAACATGTAGGTTTTTCTTTTGGGCAAGTAGCATAGGAGGACCGATGATGCATTCAGTGGTGAGATGACCTACGTACTTGGTGCACATATAATGTGTTCAACCCCATGCTAAGAGCTGTGGCCTCTTTCATGTCCCTGCATAGGTACCGTCTCCTGCGTGAGGACCTTGGAAAAGATAGATCAGAAAACAAACAGTTAAGTCATATCCTGTAAATTCATATTGTTCAGTAGTCAATCCAGGCGAGTCAAGAATTTTTTAGGGAAAGTGTGACCGAGTCCAAGCTCGCTCTGCTCTCCACACGACTAGTCAATAGATCCAAGAGACGAGTTTTGAGGCAAGGAAGAGACTTTAATCAGGGAGCCAGCTGACCAAGAAGATGCAGGCTAGTGCCCCAAAATAACCTTCTTGTCAGGGCCTGGTTGCCAGGTTCTTTTAGGAATCAGAGATTGGGGGAGGTGAGGAAACAAAGGAAAAAGAGTATTCAGTCCTTGCAAGTGTCCTATAGAATCGCAAGGCTCAGGCAGTGGGATGTGGTAGTTTCACTTCCCGACAGTCCTTCGTGGGTTGCTCAGGTTACCTCCCTCAGGCAGGCCATTATATATGCTAACAATAACAAAAAAGGGTAAAAGTCACAGAAGCAGATTCAGTGTAAATTTAAAACTAACCCTTTCGGGTTACTGAAGGATTCAACTTGAGCCACTCTTAACCTTAAAGTATGAATATGTTTCCCAAACTGAAGCAAAAGTCAGAAATGATAAAAAATTACAACCAAAATGCCTGACCATGACATTCTTGTCTCTGAAACAATTATATTTCATAATGATTCATCTAAAATTAGAGTTTAAAATATAAGGCATATATATTCACATAAAATATTTTGGGGAGATAAGAGAGCATTATGTTGGGTTCTCTATCCCGTTAAATAAAAGTGTTCTGAGTTGTATCTGTGTATATATTATTGTTGGCTCGAAGGCTTTGAGCAAGAACTTAACTGGCTGTGTATCAGAGAACTCCACAGCCCTGAGTTAGTATCTGAACATTCAGGTTAAAAGTGACTGTACCAATTTTCTTCTGTAAAGGGTACAAATTCTTATGTCTCCATCTTTGCATCCCTTGCTGTTTCAGTTTCGTATCATTTCATTTTTTCTATCCCTCTTGTGTTACCTGCTCAGGCCCTCAGTTATTGTACCCAGAGCGATCCTTTTTGCTCTGATGGGCGGCGGGCAGCACTTGTTGACACAGGGATGGTCCACACAGCAGAGATTAAGTGTTGGATTCTTCGTGGATAGAATTTACTTAATACTGTTGACTATAGTATTTACTTACTAAATTATGTGAATATATGTTTGGACTTAGAGAATTTCCTTGTCGAGAAACTTGCCAGTTAAAAGAAAACCTGTGTTTTACTTGCTGTAAGCACAAAACTCTATGTTTGGATACCATGGTCCAAGTTCAACTTTGGGCAAATGCTTACCTTTCCTGATCTGTGTGTTCATTATAAGAGCAAAGACATTGAACTAGTTGGTTTCAAACATCTCTCCTGGCTGAGAAACTCCAGGAAACAATATTATGGTATATGACTTTCCCCCCAAAAGTTAATTTTTGAAGCACATATTTTCTAAAATACCATTTCAACATTGTTTAATTTCATTGTTTCTTATAAATCTGTGGCTACTGTTAGCTGAATAGTAAGAAGACTTTTCAGTTTGATTTCATAAAACAAAATTTGTCAAGTCTTCTCTTTGTTTAACCTCAGACTGTCATCAATATGGAAAAGTTTTCTTCTTCCTTATAACAAAGAAATTGTAGTAAACTTTCTTTTGAATATAAGAGCACAAGAAAGTATTCATTTAGAACATCACTTTGACATAATGTGGTTTTACTCTCTTCCCAAATATTATGTTATCTTCTGTATATAAGGCACTTGTGGAATTTGCATGAGACCATGTATTTTTCTTTGCTGAAGAAAAACATGTTTATTTGGAAGGATACAGAATATATTATATTATGCTACATATAAAACTGCCTTTTTGCAGGGGGACAAAGGAAATCAAGGTGAAAGGGGCATTCAGGTACGTTACTGGCTTTTTTTTGGCTTGCAATAAAATCAGGACTTCATGTTTTATTCTTGTAATATCTGTTCATTTATATACTTTATGGTGTGTTGGTTTCCCAGATGATTTGACATGACTTATAGCACAAATAAATTTGATAAGACACTATTCACTCTACATATTAAGCACATTCAAACTAATAAAAAGGAGAATTATACCAGAAAATTAGATCAGGCTGAAGAAATCTAGGGTGATTTAGAAGGACATTTGGTTTTGGGTGTCTTAGCAAAAAAGGTGAAAAGAAGAAATGTATTACAGCTTTGAGAGGAGAGGACAGTTCCACCTCAGTCCAAGTGGCTCTAGAAGAGATTTTTCCTTAACTGATCGCTGGTTCATGAATAGGACGCAGCTGGCTGAATCAGTGAGATACTGATCAGGAATAAACTGTATCTGTCAGCCTTTCAGTCTTTCATGTTCTAGAAATATATAAGATTTTTCTGACCAAAATTATAAATCTGGACAGACAGTATTTCAGTGATGTTTTTAAAATTACAGAGCTTAGTGATAGTGGCTGAATTTTGCTACATAAAATAAGCTTCACATAAAAACAAAGACACTGCAAAATTTCCCAGAATTTTCAAAATTTTGGGATATCTGGAGGCATAAAAGAAAACTTCAGGGTTAAAACCTGCTAGGGTCACAGTCAATGTGTTTCAGACAATGAAAGTGGAATTAAGCCCCTTCTCTGAAATCCACCACCCTGGTCGTTTCTTTTCATGGGTCCTGGGTGACTGAAGCATCATTCTAACTGGTCTCCTTGAGTCCAGTCACCCTTTCCCCCAACCGTAAGAAATGTGTAAGTTGTGTAAGTTGAAAGTGTAAAAGGTATTGGTTTGATCCATTTATATACTGCAATATGATTACTACTGTAGGGTCAGCTAATACCTTTATCATGTCACATTAGTTTGTTTTTGTTTTGAGAACAGTTAAGATTTAGTATCTTAGCCACTTTGAAGTTTGGAATTTAACTGCATATTTTGGATATTAATTTGCTTAGCTTCTCACCACCCAGTAAGCAATTCAGGGCACTCTTACAGGGTCCTGCCAGCAAATAGGGCCCCTGGGAATTCATGGATGTAAGTAAATGAGAAAAACTGCTATTCAGGAGTGATTTAAAATTTCAGTCACTAGATCTTTAATTGATTGTATACCTAGGTATATGTTTTACTAGACTATATTAATTACCCTTTCAACATAGGGATGAAATAGTGGTATTTCAGGGTCTGGCCCAATGTCTTATACAAGATGGATGTCTTATACAAAATATTAATTGAATGGACAAATATGTTTGTATCTTTATTAAGTTTTATTTATTTGTCCCAATTTAAAGATCTTCTTTCAAAATATTTTTCACAGTGTAAATGTAAAATGTCTTTTAAATTTAAAATTTCTTTAAAGTGGTCTTCTTGCCCTCACATATGCATAATCCACGCCAAACATAATGCCATTGAAATTAAGAAAATGACCACAGTCACTGGATTTTTAAACAATTTTCATGTTGTGAACATGGACTCCGCAGAACACCCTCAATTGTCTAACATGTTTTGTTTACCAAAGTCAGTAGTTTGTTCCTTGTCTCCGTCAATTTAGTTAGGCTAACTTTCCTCTCACGTCTTTTTTTCTCTTCTCTTGCATCATTTTGCATATTTGCATAACTGCTCTTGTGACCTTTGTTCTAGACAGCAGGAAAGTATATAGTATGTGTTGTATGTGTGAATGCATCATGTATGTGTAAACTAATAAATAACATTTATTCAATTTTAAAGGGTCAAAAGGGAGAAAGTGGAAGACCAGGGATTCCAGGATCACAGGTATTTTTCTTTTTTTTTATGGAAAATGAATTAATGAATCACATAACTGAACGAGACAGAGAGAGTTACTTGCAAATAAAAGTGAGTGAGGAGAAGGGGAGGTGTAGTGTGCATTCTAAGTGCACAGGATGAGAGTCCTCGTGGTGATGGTGGTCAGGGCTTGCTTTGATCACTTGATTTATGTTTTTATTTTCCCATGCTGATACTCTCTGTGGCTGTGAAACTTGATTTTCAATGCTTATGTGTGACCGAGTACATGACTAAAGGTCGGGACTTCCCTGGTGGGCCTGTGGTTAGGACTTTGCCTTCTAGTGCAGGAGGCACAGTTTCAGTCCCTTGCAGGGAGCTGAGATCTCACATCTCTCAGCCAAAAATCCAAAATGTAAAAACAGCAGCAATATTGTAATAAATTCAATAAAGACTTGAAAAATGGTCCACATTTAAAAAATGACTGAAGGTAGACAATTCCGCCTGTTTCTTGGGAGTAATGGCCCGAGGCAGCCATCCATAGCAGCATCTCTGTACCTATTGTCGAGTTTTTATTTTTTTCTTAAAAATGTGAGCAGTTGAGGCCCTGTGTAGTGAAACGGTGAATCAACTTGTTTCCCTCTAGTTTGTTCAAAGATACAATTGGCCACCTTACAGATGTGTTAATACTATCTCTGGAGAACTGTGTCATGGAATAGATACATAATATCTGCTCTTCTTTTTTAAGAAACATTTAAATCAGAGCATAATTGCTTTACAGTGCTGTCTTGCTTTCTGCTGTATGATGATGTGAACCAGCCGTAAGCACTTTTATCTCCTCCCTCTTGAGCCTGGCTCCCAGCCCCATCCCAGTGCTCTAGGCTGTGCTCCACGGGCAACTTCCCACCAGCTATCTGTCATCCACATAGTAACCTGCGTGTTTCAGGGCTGACTTTCTTCTTCTTTGACTAAACTCCTCGTGAAGCCATGTTTCTGTGAGGTTGTCTCGTGGCGTGTAGGTTCAGTCAGAGCCAAACTGGACAAATAAAGTCGTCCCACTGATGGGGAGTGTGGGCCTAAGGCGGATCCCGTAGCTGCGCTGACCCTGCTGGAAGGGGGATGAAGCTTGAGGTGACGCCTCCAAGAGCGGAGTTTCCGGGTCCCTCGCCTGGAGGGATGGGAGAGGCCCTGGCGGGTGGGAAGGCGCATCTTAGACGAAAGGTGAGGGCTGCGTGTCGGGAACTTGAGAGCCTAGAAGCCGAGCTGCAGAGCAGGCGTCGCTGAGTCCGCCCGTGTGCCGTGACGTCAGGGAGAAAGGCCTCAGTGTGGGCCCGCTCGCCCCACGGTAAACCCGGATGACAGGCGGCTCTGTCCTGCTCCTTGCCGCCCCGTTGTCTCCCCGGGTTAACCGCGCGGCATCCTACGGCTCTTCTCAGGAGAGTCTCACCTCTTCATGAGGCAGCCTCCACAAGCCTGGCCGTTCCCCCCACGCTTTTAATCACGGAAACTCTGATAGGAGGCTATTCTTCTCATTTTGAGCACACAATTTGGCTAGCTCACTGGTTGACAGATGACACTCTTCGCAAGGTTCCCTTAAAATGTTTTTCTTTTTTTTTTTTCCCCCTCACTTCTCAAGAGAAAAGGCAAGTCTGCTCCCCCAGGGCAGGATTTGGGTTCCCTGGAAAGCTCTGTCCTGGGTGTGTTGGAAGCTGAGTTTCCACCACCATGACCTGAGTCTGCAGAGGGGTCAGGGCAGCTGTGGCCTCTCAGCTGTTGAATGGTTGTCCCACCCCCCCCTAAGTAGACAAAGCCCCAAGTTACCTGTCATCCTACCAAGTGTTGCATGTGTGCGATGTGATGTTTTTTGGCCTTCTTGTTGTGAATGGAGTCCAAGCGAATGTTTCTCTCACAAGATCATCTAAGCGGATTCTCAGCTGACAGCTATTTTCAGTTTCAGATCTAATTTGGTTCTCCTCCTGGGAACTTTTATCTTTTTATCTTATCTTTCCCCTTACCTGGATCCAATTGGAGGATTCTATCTGGTAGCAGACATCTCTGCATTTCTTCAGAAACCTCTATATTTAAAGAATGGCTTGACAAAGAGTGTTTTACTCACTGACTGATTTTTATATGAAAACTAAAATTTAGTGTCTTTATGCTCAAGTTTTGAGAATCTCCCTTTCTCTGTGCCAAACATTGATTTTCCCTAGTTTTGTTCTTCTGTCTCATTTGGATCTTCATGTTGAAGGAACCTAGGAATAAATCAACGTAAACCCTCAAACTTCATTGTTATACACGGAATTCTCTATTGAAATGTTTGTTATACACTGAATTTCATATTGAAATGTTATATACTGAATTTTATATTGAATTTCAGAACATGAATTTTTAACTTTAAAGTTGATTGATGATCAACTGTATTTCAATAAAAATAATAAAGTTGATTAATGAAATCTCTCCTGTGTATTGTGAAAGCTATAGCCTTTGTTCTAAACTAATATTGGGTGATTTTGGAGCCTGAATGTACAATGAATTTAAAAAATGAACAATTATAGTGTATTTCCTAAAGGTTCTTATCATCGCTCAAAAATGTCACTGGAATGACTATGTAAACTTTAAAGGAACCACTCAGATGTATCCCATGATTGTGATGATGAGAGAGCTTCAGGTAAAGGTCCCTAGTTTATATCATGGGAAGGAAAAACTGCCATATTTGTCAGCATGAACACATGCATGCTAAGTTGCATCGGTCATGTCTGACTCCTATGGCTCCTCTGTCCATGGGATTCTCCAGGCAAGAATACTGAAGTGGGTTGCCGTGCCTCCTCCAGGGGATCTTCCTGACCCAGAGATCAAACCTGCATCTCTTGGGTCTCCTGCATTGGCAGGTGGGTTCTTTAGTACTAGTGACACTTGAGAAGCCCATTGTACAAAATTTGTGTTGTTCAGTTTCTAAGTCATGTCTGACTCTTTGTAACCCCATGGACTGCAGCATATCAGACTTCCCTATCCTTAACTATACCCCAGAGTTTGCTCAAACTCATGTCCTCTGAGTCAATGATGACATCGAATCATCTCATCCTTGGTCGCTTCCTTCTTCCCCTGTCCTCAATCTTTCTCAGCATCAGGATTTTTTTCCATTGAGTTGACTCTTCACATCAGGTGGCCAAAGTATTGGAGTTTCAGCTTCAGCATCAGTCCTTCAATGAACATTCAGGACTGATTTCCCTTAGGATTGACTGGTTTGATCTCTTTGCAGTCCAAGGAAATCTCAAGAGTCTTCTCCAGTGCCACAATTCAAAAGCATCAGTTTTTTGAAACTCAGCCTTCTTTATGGCCCAATTCTTACATCCATACATGACTTTTCCAGTAGGAAAAACCATAGCTTTGACTAGATGGACCTTTAATGGCAAAGTAATATCTCTGCCTTTTAATATGCTGTCTAGGTTGGTCATAACTTTTCTTCCAAGGAGCAAGCATCTTTTAATTTCATGGCTGCAGTCACCATTTGCAGTGATTTTGGAGCCCAGGAAAATAAAGTCTGTCACCGTTTCCACTATTTCCCCATCTGTTTGCCATGAAGTGATGGAACCAGATGCCATGATGTTAGTTTTCTGAATGTTGAGCTTTAAGCCAACTTTTTCACTCTCTTCTTTCACTTTCATCGAGAGACTCTTTTATTCTTCTTCACTTTCTGCCATAAGGGTGGTGTCATCTGCATATCTGAGGTTATTGCTAGTTCTCCTGGCAATCTTGATTCTAGCTTGTACTTCATCCAGCCAAGCATTTTGCTTAATGTGCTCTGCATATAAGTTAAATAAGCAGGGTGACAATATACAGACTTAATGTACTCCTTTCCCAATTTTGAACTAGTCCTTTGTTCATGTCCAGTTCTAACTATTGCTTCTTGACCTGCTTACAGGTGTCTCAGGAGGCAAATAAGGTGATCTGGTATTCCTATTTCTTTAAGGATTTTCCACAGATTTTTGTGATACACACAGTAAAAGGCTTTCATGTAGTCAATGAAGCAGAAGAAGATGCTTTTCTGGAATTCTCTTGTTTTTTCTCTGATCCAGTGGATGTGGACAGCTTGATCTCTGGTTCCTCGGCCTTTTCTAAATCCAGCTCATACATCTGGAAGTTTTCAATTCATGTACTGTTGAAGCCTGGCTTGAAAGATTTTAAACATTACCTTGCTAGCGTGTGAAATGAGTGCAATTGTACAGTAGTTTGAGCATTCTTTGGCATCGCCCTTCTTTGAGACTGGAATGAAAGCTGACCTTTTCTAGTCCTGGGGCCACTACTGAGTTTTCCAAATTTGCTGCCTTATTGAGTGCAGCACTTTAACAATATCATCTTTTAGAATTTCAAATAGCTCAGCTGAAATTGAATCATCTCCACTAGCTGTGTTCATAGTAATGCTTCCTAAGGCCCACTTGACTTCACACTAACATGCTGCTTTCCTAATCTCTGAATTTCCAGCCATGAGTGATTTAAGCATAGGACAGTATGTTTTTCTTCCCTATGAATCACTTTTAATGTTATCTTTTCTTTAACCCATCTTTTATCTCTAATACTCAAACAAAATTTAATTTTAAGAATAAAAATTTGAGAAAAAATAGAATACTCTTTTAATCGCTGAATAAAAGAATAAATATTCCTTATTTTACTGAGTTTTTTACTGAAGTATAGTTAGTGTACAATCATATATAAGGTGTATAATAGAGTGATTTGCAATTTGAAAGGCTATATTCCATTTATAGTTATTATTATATATTGGGTATATTCCCTGACTTGAGTTTTAATTTTCCTTAAACTAATAATATAATTTAAAATAAGAGTAGAGTTTTAAAAGAATTCAGATAGAATGCCATTCTAACCTACATGTTTGACCTGCATCATATGAAAATATTCATGCAGAACAATGAAAGTTCTGTAAATTAACCCTGTTATATTATTCATTTATTATATTTCCTAGTTACTAGTCTCCTTTAAAAAGGTAAAAAAGGTCTCTTGTATATATAATTTTGTCACTATTTCTACTGCTGTCTCCCAAACCAAAAATTAAAGTTTGATTAAATATGTCTAAAGGGTACATGCCACATTGCTAGTACTGTAACTTGCACATTTTTTTTCCTATTAATTTTTGAAGGGAATTCAAGGCCATCACGGGGCAAAAGGAGAGGTATGTTTCTTCTTGTATTATGCTGTCCAGTCCTCACAGCTTTATTTTCAATACTGTATAAATAAATCTAGCTGTTGACATCACAAACAGAAAATATCTTTCATGTTCTTCAGTAGTTCCTAAATATTTTCAGAATATGTAGGTTCACTGAATTAGGTATGAAATGGTACGCATTTGTCAATAATATTGATTCCAATTCTAAATTAGGAACTGTTTTTCTGCATAGTTTCCAGTGAGGAATATTGTGTATTTCTATGCCTATCACTAGAATTTAAACTCCTTGGGAACAAGACTGTCACGTTCACTGATGTATCTCTGGCACTATGCATATTGCCTAATCAATAAATGTACTAAGTAACAGTTATTTATAGGGTTGGATGGGTGGTTGATTGGATGGATAAATTGCTGTTTAATATAGTATGAAATTTCCCTCCTGATCAATTATGGTATTTCCCAGCAGTTACTTGTATAATTTAGATATATGTTTGTATATATTCATATCTGTATTCTTGAGGACTTCTATGGTGTGATTATACCTCCTGAAATATTCAAATAGAACTTCTGAAGATTTCTCTTGCTTTTAGAGAGGTGAAAAGGGAGAGACTGGTGCTAGAGGCGCCACTGGAGCCAAAGGAGAGTCTGGGGTGGACGGTCTGATGGGGCCCCCAGGCCCCCAGGGGCCACCTGGGAATCCAGGTCCTCCGGGCGCCCCAGGACTGGATGGGAAACCCGTATGTATTCTGCTTCTTCCACAGTTTTTATGTTTTCATTCTTTGTATTTGGCATGTCCACGTTATAACCCCTAATAATTTGATGCAGGGGAGAGAATTTTCAGAACAGTTTATTCGACAAGTTTGCACTGATGTATTAAGAGGTAAGTCTCAAACATACAGATTTTAATAACTTTCAAATTTCAGAAGTAATATAAATATTTTCCTAGAAATTATAAAGGTATAAGTAAGATAGAGAAAAAATAAAGGACATTTATCAATCTTTGTTTTTCCTAGATAAGTATTTTTATATTTAACTTTTATAATCTTTTTCATAAAGTAATTTATCATTATTTCACCATTGATTAAATTTTCTTTTCTGACATAATTCTAGTAATTTTATTCCCCAATATGACACTTATAATTTAATAGTTTCTTTTAGGGAGATACTTTTCCCCTTTATTTGAAGCAATTTCCACAATAAAATTATTGTAAAGAGCAATTGATATTTCCTAGTTAAATTTCTAGAAATAAAGTTATTGGCCAAGAATTAGGCATCTGTAATTTTTTAAAATTATGAGTGATTTTATTAATGTCCATTCACCATTTAACATAAGGGTGGGGGTTTCTTTCTTTTCAAGCCCATTTACCTGTCTTACTTCAAAGTGGAAGAATTCAAAGCTGTGATCATTGCCAGTCCCAGCACGGCTCCCCTGGTATTCCAGGGCCACCTGGTCCCATGGGCCCAGAAGGTCCCCGAGGATTCCCTGGTTTGCCAGGAAGAGATGGTGTTCCTGGATTAATGGGAGCTCCAGGACGCCCAGGTGCCAAAGGATTAAAAGGTACTTAGTTTGTTTGTGTAAGCAAATGAACAACAAAAAACAATATTTTTTGTATTCATTCACCTCTTAAAGTGATTTAATAGGCAAGAGTTCATGTTTGTCTTCTTAAAGCCAAAAAATTTTTCTACCCCTACATCTTTAAATAATTTGTTGACTAAGTTAAAGAATAATTACTGTATTTTTTGAAAGCATATCCTCAAGTCAAGAGAGAAAGGTCAAGGTTATGAAGCACATGAACTTGTAAATCAGATAATGTTGACAATGAACTTAAAAATTTTGCTTGAGTCCAATAATGTCTTTAAATAGAACATCACAGATACCATTTCCTTTATGTTGACTTTGGTAACTTCTGTTACTGTATTCAACATTGTTTTCTATTATAAGAAAAATTAGAGACCTCGCTGGTGGTCCAGTGGTTGAGGCTTAGTCTTCTAGTGCAGGGGGTGTAGGTTTGATCCCTGGTCAATGAACTACAATCACTCATGTCTTGGGGCCAAGAAACTAAAACATTAAAAAAAAAAATAGTGGAGACAGCGTTGTGTCAAATTCAATAAAGATGTTAAAAATGGTCCACATTTTTTAAAAAATCTTAAAAAAAAAGAAAAATTAGGTTTTGCAACCAAACTCTCTAATAGTAGGCCAAACTTACTGCTCTTTGCCTTTGAATGTTTTTATATGAAATGTTAGTTGATAATACTTTCCTTTTAGTTTAATATGATTTGAACAATTTAGATGTTTCATCAAAGGAACAGCTATGATTAACAGAAAGGGCTAAATAATTTCAAAATTAATTCCAACAATTTTTCTTTCTTAATATTTAATCTCATTATGTTACTAGACCACTAATCATTTGGAAAATTGTGGCTTAAAAAATTCTCTCCCCCATTAGTAATAATAAATAGGTGGTAAGTAATAAGTAGGTGAAACTTCTTTTTGAAGATTTATTTTTCTTTAATGTGTATACTAACAGCTTTGAAAGAAGCAATCTAGGAGGAAGTGATTTTATGGGAAAAGTAAGCTTATTCCCCTCTCTGACACTCTGCAGGCCTCCCTGGACGGAATGGGGCAAAGGGGAGCCAAGGACTTGGGTACCCTGGAGCACAAGGTCCTCCTGGTCCCCCAGGTAAGAACTGGTGAGGCTCATAAGTGTTCCTGCACATTTTGCTTTAGGAAAATCACCATAGATCTATGTCCAAAGGTTTGAAATCAAGACTTTTCTTTCCTTTTTTGAGTGATTCACATTCAGCACATTGAGATCTAACTACTAGAAGTTTTATCCTATATTACATTCATGAATCATTCAAGCTTCTCTCTCACTTATCATTTAGATTCTTTAGAATACCACTCCTTAGAATAGCTCTCATGTGGTTTCACTTGCTCATGCCTATCTAATGTGTATCACTGTCTATATCACCATCTTATCTTTATGATTCTCAGGGACACAAAATAATGCTGAAATGGACTCAAAAGCCAAACTCTGCTAGCTGTGTTAATTTTACTTTGCCTCCGTTTTCTCATTTGTAAAATAGTGATGAGATGTTAGTTCAGTTGAGTTCATTTCAGTTGTTCAGTCACGTCCGACTCTTTGCGACCCCATGGACTGCAGTACATACCAGGCTTCCCTGTCCGTTACCAACTCCTGGAGTTTACTCAAACTCATGTCCACTGAGTCGGTGATGCCATCCAGCCATCTCATCCTCTGTCGCCCCCTTCTCCTCCTGCCCCCAGTCCCTCCGAGCATTAGGGTCTTTTCCAATGAGTCAACTCTTCACATCAGGTGGCCAAAGTATTGGAGTTTCAGCTTCGGCATCAGTCCTTCCAATGAACACCCAGGATGGATCTCCTTTAGGATGGACTGGTTGGATTTCCTTGCAGTCCAAGGGACTCTCAGGAGTCTTCTCCAACACCACAGTTCAAAAGCATCAATTCTTCGGCTCTCGGCTTTCTTTGTATCATGACACTGTTGGGTGATTAAATGAGTTAATATATGTTGTGCTTTCAGACAGTGCATGACAACCAAAGCTGTGTTTTCAATAAAAGTGTATCATCATCATTATTTTAGATGTTACTACTTCTTGAGGCTTTTAGGTGGAGCAGATGATTCAATAATTTGTATGCAAAGCATTTTGAACAATACTTAAGTGTTGAATAAACATTTATTAGTAGTAATAGCAGGAATTATTAGTGATAGGGAGTGCCCCCAAACCAACTTTAAAAGGCCAGTGTCTTGATTTAATTTTCCTTTCTTTGATCATGCTAATTGAACTAAACTATGGTTTACAAAGAGGTATTATAATACCTTGTGTATGGATTATTATGATATTATGCTAATGACAATGTATTTCAATGTGGAAACTATATACCTATAATGAAAATAGTCATTTTGACTGCAAATATGGCACAAAAGTGATTTCATTGAAGTTTTTGCTTACTGATATATTACTGGCAAATTTAAAATAGTATTGGCAAATTAAGCTGAAAGTAAGAAATAGTGTAGCCACAAACTGAAATCTTAAAATTGAAATTTTTTAAATTGTGAAAATGTGAAATCCACAAATTGAAATCTTAAAATGTTAGCTCTGTGTCTTCATTAGCTGCATGATTTCTGTAATAACATAGCTTGTCTTAGTTGTGGAAGATTATTTTTGGATAGTTCTTTTCCAAATGGAAGGCATATAGAATTATCAAGAGGATTCCTTCTCTTTCCTCTTTGAGTGCAAATATGTAAAATGCTGAAGAGAGTCTTTTTTCCAGTTTACATGTTTTACAGATTCAGCTGTGTCAGCCCCAGAAACAAACTCCTGTGTTCATATGTTGCTAATGTTCCATCATAGGTCCAGAGGGTCCCCCTGGAATAAGCAAAGAAGGTCCTCCTGGAGACCCAGGCCTCCCCGGCAAAGATGGAGACCATGGAAAACCCGGAATCCAAGGACAGCCAGGCCCCCCGGGCATCTGTGATCCGTCGCTCTGTTTTAGTGTCATCGTTGGAAGAGATCCATTTAGAAAAGGACCAAACTATTAGTTTCTGATGCCTCATCCAGCAGCCTAGGCATGGTGCTCTTATTTTGTGGTCTTTGCATCTCAGGAAGATAACAACACTAATCCCTTGAAAAGAAACTCAAGTACCTCGGTGTTTTTATTTTCGTTTTTTCCTGAAGGAAAAATATAGAAAAGGTCACGTATACTGATTTTAAAGGCTCCTAAGTTCTTCGGAGCCTTTAGATTGGTAGCATTAACTAAATCTCAAGGGTTTCTTGTAAGTCCATTCGTTTTAATCAAAGTTGAATATAAAAAAAAAAACCACCATTGCCTGTCAGCCAGTCGGTTTCACTCACTGTGAAAAGTTTCACATTCAGCCTCCGTGCAGCAGAGTATTTGAGTTCAATTTCTTGTCTGTGTGCATTTCATGTTTCATAGCTCATGCTTCTACGTTAGCTGAAACGTGCATCTGGCCGTGGGAAATGAGATCAGGGCTGATATTCAGCTTGGGAACAGACTGTATCACCACATGGGCACTTTTCTCCAGTGTCTGTGCTCATCAGACGGGGTGATGGACTGTTAGTTGTTCAGTGTTTTGAATGTCACCTATGAAAGAAATTAAAGTGTTTCTTACTCCATTTGCAAATTCTCAAATGATTCAGTGCTAAGAAAGAGTAATGATTACATTGGGAATGGTCTAAATGTGAACCATTAAAAACATTCTGGAGAAAAAGGTTCATTAGACCTGGTCAATATGTTCAAAGGAATCATAAGTCCAGAAACACTAAAAATAGTTTCTTCTTCATACCTGTGTAGTAATTGGAGTGTTTGTTGCATGCCTTCATTTTCCATTTCATTTATTATATGTGTATGTTCATATATGTTAACTTTTATTGTAGCAGAGCTAGTGGGAATCAATGCTCTAGTTGACAGGAAAGGTAACTCCACAGATCCTAGGATGTCTTGATAATTTTTTAGCAGACTTTAAAATATTTTAAACAATCTTTGTGTACTGTACTTAATGCTTTTCTAAGGAATGTAGTTTGAGATATTCCATCCTTATCATGCTCTAAATTTGTTACATGCTTGATATTCAAAGTACAATAAAATTTTGTAAAAGCTTGATTGCAGCATTTTTTATACTTGTAACTGATTTTGAGTATATTATGCATCTCACATGATCATTTATTCAGTGGGTATAATTTATTAAATTATTTACCCTATTTTTGAATGACTGATTCATATACGTAAGAACTTAGAAACTGGGTTGGGTGCCACTCGCCTGGGCAGATACAGACCCTGCTTCCTGGTCCAGGAATGGCTGGTGACCAGAGTTTAGCTTAAGTGATGACATGTCCTTCCATGATGAGGACCTTGGAGGGGACTGACGCCCGTACATTCAGCAGCTGAATCAGCTTAAGGCTTGTTTTGGTGTTCTGTCTCCAGCAAAGCCTCAGGTGTCTGTTAGACCTGACCAAGATACTCCCCCTGCTAATAATACCATTTTCTGGGAGACCTGGTGAAGGGGCAGAATGGGAACTTCCTCTACCCCTTGTTCCTTCAACCAGCTTGGAGCACATGTGATGCTGAGAACTCAGCCTCTGTTTTCCAGTGCTGAACTGAATCTCAGACAGAATTTTAGGTAAAATAGAAAAGAATAGCTTTATTGCTTTGCCAGGCAGAAAGGGACACAGTGGGCTCTTGTCTTCGGAAGCTGTGTATCTCATCCTGGGAGGATTTGGTGAGGAGTTTTTATTGCAATGATTCCAAGGCCGCATTGCTGATAGGGTGTGGTGTGTGCAGGGTCTGCTTTCCTCTAATCCGGTCTCAGGTGACCTCTTGATGAGCTTCTCTGGTTCCTTTAACCTGGCCCCCGGGTGGTCTTCTCTGGAATGAAGAATGCTGGCGTCTTCCGTTTATTGGGGGTTTTCACTTCTGGGGCACCAGGACCCTGCCCCAAAGCTGTGCTGTTTCATGACTGCTGCTCCCTTGTCTCTGCATCCCTTCCCTTCCCTGATTAGCGACTGTTTGAACTTGCCCTTTGGACTCAGGGAAGGTCATGGAGGTTGGAGTCTGTTCCCTACACACAAGAAACGGGACAGAAAAGCCTCCATGTTCAGGGGCCCCATGAGGTCCTGCTCAGCTTCACATGGCCGTGAAATGCGCAGAACTGGCCAGGGACACAGTGGTGACGGAGTCATGTGGTCTGGCCTGAGGACCCTCGTGTCTAAAAAGAAACAGAGCAACAGGGGATTGCTATAAAATCATTCTAAAACAGGAGAAAGTGCTACAGAAATGTATGCATGCATGAGTGCCAAGTCGCTTCAGCCGTGTCCAACTCTTGTGACCCCATGGACCATAGCCCCCAGGCTCCACTGTCCACGGGATTCTCCAGGCAAGAATACTGGAGTGGGTTGCCGTGCTCTCCTCCAGGGGATCTTCCCAGCCCAGGGATCGAACCCACGTCTCTTATGTCTCCTGCATTGGGAGGTGAGTTCTTTGCCACTAATGCCACCTGGGAAGCCCATAGAAATGTATAGGGTGATGCTATGGACTAAATTGTGTCGCTTCCAAATTAATATGTTGAAACCCTAATTCCCTATGGGACCCTGTTTGGAGACTGAGGTTTTAGGCTGTGATTATGGTTAAATAAGTTCGTAAGAAGGGAGTACTAATGTTGTACAATTGGTGACCTCTTCTCATATGCCTGCATATGAGAAAAGGCCATGTAAGCACACAGCGAGAAGACAGTGATTTGAGAGCCAGGAAATTATCATACTAACTGAATAAGCCAGACAGAAAATGATGAAAACAATACCGATGAACTCTTTTCAAAACAGAAATATGTTCACAGACATAGAAAACAACCTGAGGGGGGAGGAGGGACAGAGTAGGAGTTTGGGACTCACAGACACACTTACTATATATAAAATAGATCAACAAGGGCCTGCTGTATAGCACATGTCTTGTAATAACCTTTAACAGAAGAGAATGTAAAATAGAATATGTTTATTCTATTTATTTATTCTATTTATTCTATTCTATTTGTATAAATATATATATACTTGAATCACTTTGCTGTGTACTTGAAACTAACACAATATTGTAAATCAACTATATTTCAATGCTAAAAAAGTTGCATTAAAAAAAAAATCAAGGACTTCCCTGCTGGCCCAGTGGCTAAGACACCTTGCTCCCAATGCAGGGGGCCCAGGATCATTTGCTGTTCAGGAAACTAGATCCCACATGCCACAGCCAGGATTTCCTATGCCACAACAGCAAGATCCCACAGCTGCAAGGAATATCCAAGATCCTGTGTGCTACTTATTAATACATAAGTAATAAATACTTTAAAACAAGCCAGGAAGATCACCAGCATTGATCTTGCGCTTTCAGTCTCTAGGACCAAGGGCAAATCCATTTCTATTGTGTAAGCCACCCTGTGTGAGGTGTTATATATGGGAGCTCAAGCTGTGAAACAGATGAGGGTGGGGAAAACTCCCTTAAAGCCATGATTATAAACTGAGGTTGGAAGGCTAGGAGACATTAGCAGGCCACCCAGTCACATAAAGGGAATGAAGATGAGCCAAATCTGGGGGATTAGGACTGAGAACAAAACCTGGGGAACAAAAATCACATTTACTTTTGGTATCTGCTCTCAAAATTGTTACCTAATGTGAAATATTTCTGTAGTTTACCATGGTACAGGGTATGTGCTAATATATTCTTGCCTAACAAATCAGTTACTACTAATTTGAGACTAACTCATAAAATACAGATGTTTAAAGAATGAGTAAGTGGATGATTTTGTTCTACAAGTACATTTGGACCACAGCGGTTCACCAGCATCTCGCATGCCTCTTAGTGTGGTTACAAGGCCATGGCTTCTGTAGTGGGGTTGCCTGGGTTCAAATTTCCGCTTTCTTTTTCTAGTAAGAGTCTTCAGGAAATGTCCTTATCTATTTGTGCCTAAATTTCTTCATATATTATAAGAGGAAGTTTCGTAGTATTTGTTGTTCAGTGACTAAGTTGTGTCCAACTTTTTGTGACCCCATGAACTGCAGCATGTCAGGCTTCCCCGTCCTCCACGGCCTCCTAGACTTTGCTGAAATTCATGTCCACTGAGTCATGACGCTATTGATCATCTCACCCGCTTCACCTCTTGCCCTCAGTCTCTCCCAGCATCAACTTCTTTTCCGGTGAGTCGGCTCTTTGCATCAGGTGGCTGAAGTATTGGAGCTTCACCTTTAGCATCAGTCCTTCCAATGAATATTCAGACTTGATTTCCTTAAGGATTGATTGGTTTGATCTCCTTGCAGTCCAAGGGACTTTAAAGAGTCTTCTCCAGCACCACAGTTTGAAAGCATCAATCCTTTCATGCTCATTCTTCTTTAAGGTCCAGCTCTTATATCCATACATACATGACTATTGGAAAAACCACAGCTTTGACTATTCAGACCTTTGTCAGCAAAGTGTCATCTTTGCCATTTAATACACTGTCTAGGTTTGTCATGGCTTTCCTTCCAAGAGCAAGCATTTTTTAATTCTGTGGCTATAGTCACTGTATACAGTGATATTGAAGCCCAAGAAAATAAAATCTGAAACTGCTCCACTTACCCCACTTCTATTTGCCATGAAGTGATGGGACCAGATGCCATGATCTTAGTTTTTTACAATATTGAGTTTCAAGTCAGTTTTTTTCACTCTACTCTTTCACCTTCATCAAGAGTCTTCTCAGTTTCCCTTCACTTTCTGCTAATAGAGTGGTACCATTTTCATATCTGTGGTTGTTGATATTTCTCCCAGAAATATTGATTCCAGCTGTTGATTCATCCAAGATATTTTGCATGATGCACTCTGCCTAGAAGTTAGATAAGCAGGGTGACAATATACAGCCTTGACACACTCCTTTACCAATTTTGAACAAGTCAGTTGTTCCAAGTCTGATTCTAACTGTTGCTTCTTGACCCGCATACAGGTTTCTCACCACACAGGTCAGGTGGTCTGGTACTCCCATCTCTCTAAGAATTTTCCACAGTTGTT